TGAGGAGATGATTTAGAGACATGCCTCGGTCACACGCCCCAATTGCCAAGACATTTCTCAATCGTTTGTTACCTTGGTGGTACGCGTATTTGTTTATGTGTGCTTTCATTTCCCTCTACTTGAAAAATGATGGTCCGCTGTCACTCATGTGCGATGAACACTTGAATCACCCTCCGCATGTTGGTGCAGCTAACAATGCGTCATTTTTTATGCTTATCCAGTCAGACGCAGCTTAGCTGTATCTCGCCGACCAATCGAATTGACACCCGTCAGCGGGCTGGACAATATGCACGACGGAGGTCTGCCTCACTTCAACACAGAAAGAGCATAAGAAGACAGATGGTCCATCCGGAGGTGGAAAAATGTGTGATTAATTGACCAATGAGGTGCGCTGAAAGGAAATGGATCTAGCCACAGNTTTCTTTCTCAAGTTCAAGTGATGATTTTTCTATTCAAAATAACGGTTTCGCAAATGAAAATTATAGTTTCTCAAATCTAATTTAAAATGGTATAGAGTACCAAGTGATTCTGTAAGTCGAAAACACTGCGAAGTAGAATTTTCAGGTGCGGTTCATTTGCTCGTTACCCGAGGATACTGGCTCAAATAGCAATGGGTGATCACAACTCACAAACCCGTCCACACGCCCTCCCGGATCTTTTATGTGCGTGATTTTCGGTGGGGAAAGTTAGTCACTTTGTGTAGACTTTTCACTGCTCGTCAAAAAGAATTAAGAGTTGTCTGTTCTTGAAAGATGATTTTCAACGGACTCACTAAAAAGGAGTCGAATTGTGAACTTTGTTCGTTGAACTGAGGATGGGAGAAGGGTATTAAAGACAAGCCTTTTCTTCTTATCCGTGACCTTCCCCGGTAGGCATTGGATTCATCCTGGACCCCTTTTGTTCCCCTTCTGAACCGATCCGGGGCATTTTTCACAGTTGAAGCGGTCTGTTTTTTTTGATGATTGAATTCTTCTCATGTGTCCCGAAAACGCAGACCCGGTGTGTTCCGGCCAGACCAGATGCGCTTTGTCAAGTCATTGCGGCTTTTCACTGCTCGTGAAAAGTCTGCAGACAAGCTGACCAAGTGTCCTCACCAAAAGCACGCACATAAACGATTCAGGAGGGTGTGTGTGGATGGGATTTTGAGGTGAGATCACCCATTTGCCATTTGAACAATATTTTGCTTGACTAAAGGGTCAGTGAACTGCAGTTGAAAAATCTTCTCGGCAGTGTGTTTCCTGCACAGTGAATTTCCCGGTTAATCCCCAACGAAGGCCTGAGCTTATTTCATTTCTCAAAGGGGAATTTCGTTGTGTATATGTCAAATGAAGCGTGAACTGAAACGCTAGGTCTGTGGCCTGCAACAAGCTCGCAAAGATGGGTTGTGTAAATAGAAAACGAAAAACGGTCTGATCAAGTACCCGGTGGCCGAGTAGGTAACATGCTTACGTTCTGCCCATGAGGTCCCGGGTTCGATCCCCATTTGGGTTGATGGATTCGCACTACGAATATTTAGCAGTTGAATACTGGCTTAGGTCAATTGGAGAGTAGATGAGAGTAGGTTTGAAAAGAGACGGAATCAAAAGAACAAAAAATGAACGGAGGTGAAAGCGGTTGAATATTGAACGGCGGAAATTTCACGACGGTCGGACAATACGGCATCGGAAAAAGTGAGCAACGAAGTAGAGCGGTTGTAGCAGTATAATGTATTGGGGTCACATGTAGTTGATTTTGAAAAAGTTTTGATTGAAAGTACATGCATCATTCACTAAAGAACCATACATGCCGCCAAATTTCTTTACGTTGTTTTCGCAANAAATAGTCACGTTGAGTCTGTAGGGATCGTTCATTAGTTTTGAGCTTCAAACATGTGAACAGATTAGTTTTCAAAAAGGGAATTCGCCGTGTGTCGAACAAATGCAGTGCTGATTAAACCAAACCAGGTCAAAACAGCTATCCAGTGGACCCCGGTTTTTCAGTTCACGCTTCGTTCGCTCTATGAACGCTGTTATTTAGGAATTTTTCGAGTCTCTTCGGCATCGAATCCACCAATTTTGTTATACAGCCATTTTCTATTTCGTGCTCCATTACGTATCACACTTTTGTCTCCAACGTCCAATGTACAGGTAGCACATTGACCTCTCGCTTCAAAACAGAAAACAAATTTTCAATCACTTTGAGATCCGGGCTATTAAGAGGTAGTTGTTTGAGCTGGACCTTGGAGTCAAGCATCTTTTCTAAAGCCTAAAAGCAAATAATAAGTGAACCAGAGTCCTTAACTAAGTAAATTTACTAACCTCTCGTAAAACATGACACGGAGCGTTATCCTGAAAAACGATAACTTTTCCAGACGACTTTTTCATGAAATTCTGGTAACATTTTCGTCATTACTGAAATGAATTTCCCACTATCCTTGGTGCCTTTGACTGATGTCTACCGATAAGCCTGACTATGTAATCTCGACAGGCGAGAAATTCTTTCATTTGGTGGATGCAATGCTTTTTTTCCAGAGTAATACGAATTAGATCGTTCTCCTGTTTGAATGTACTCGGTTTACGGCCTCCACAAGCTGTTCTGGTTGTTGTTTTTCCATGGGTAATCCTAGAAATGGTTGTTTTGTTAACGCTAAAGTATTGGGCAAGATTTGATATGGAAAAACCTAGCTTGTGTGTTTGTGCAATTCTATTTCTGTCCTCTTCACTAAGGTAACGAGAACTTTTGGTTTCGAGCGCTCCTTGCTTTATTTTGGTGACAACAATACGAACGTTCAAAGCTGTGCACAAAAATGACCTTGATTTCAAGGTTGACTTTGATGAAAATGATATTTCTCGACTTCAGTGAGTTAGCTATCAAACAGATTATTATTATGAAACCTTATTTAATGGAATTTCTCCGGGTTGTGAAAGAATTGCATTTGGTTATTCAGTATAGTTGCTATAATGGATTATATATTGGATAAAATACTGCCTCAATTAATAAGCGAGATGACAGGGGCTTATGGAAATAATTTGGAAATAATTCTTGAGTCGCTCCTATTAGAATATATTGCGTTTCATACTTGATAAAGTTTGCGATTTTCATGTTGAGATTATTCGATTTTTGTAATCAAGGTCAGGCACGTTTCATTAACAATCATGCAACCTGGAAACAATGTAGATCGAAGTAGACAAGAGATAAATTATTGTCTATACCTAAAGCATTGATATAGGAGATAAGTATGATGAAACTCAATTTGATCAGAAAGAAAATATTCTAGTGTATCACAATCGGTCAGTACTGTAGTTCATCCGTGCATTCTTTTCTCTCTCTCCCTCTGTTTCAGGGACAAACCTTCCTCCACTCCGACATCCACGTCACATGTTTTACTAGAAAAATTCGAATACCTATTGAAGAAAAATGATTCGGTACAATCTTTCGCAANGTAAGTAGTGCCAAGGGAACGACTGTCTGATCGCATCTCCGAAGCATCCAGTCTATCGGGACAGGGGTTGCAGTCTCCCAATACCAGTTGTGATCGATAGGTGCTTCTATGGGGTAATAACTCAATTATCTGTGTATTCCTTTGAGAACCGTTACTGCATTTTGGTCCTACGGGAAAGGTGAGTGCTGGGAATAGATAGCATGAAGCTACAAGGCCTCGGTGCGATCGGAGTTCCCAAGAGTCATTTCTGTGATATTTTCTGAGATTATGATTCAAATTCGAGTTGCGTCATTGGGTTGGCGACGGATTATCCCAGTCATTGAACAGCCTTCACCGGTTGTTCTGGGGTGTATAGAGAGATTGTGATCCTCCGAACGCCCATACAGCCCCCCTCCCCCGCACTATTATCACCACCACCACCACCACCACCCAACCCCGTTGAAAGCCGATAAGGGAGGGGGCGGGCGAAGTGAGTACAATGGAAGTGTTCACCTAAGCAACTCACACACCGATCGATTATGCCATATGGAGTCCAATCAGGACTGTCAGAGCAGAGAAGATGCACTCGAGTGTTTTCCTGATAAATCACGTCTGCGATTCCTTTAGACCCAATTGGAACTCCTCCGATCAACTGCCTTGCTGCACCACCCAGTCCGAATACTGAAATGAAAACGGGGCACCAAAAGGTGAACCACGTGTTCACCTGAAGCGGTTGCTATTGTTGTAGATAAAGCAGACCAGCTTTATCCAAAAAAGTAATGTGGATAGAAGTGAATTTCGATTGTCAAATTTCATCTCAAATTCCCTCTCCTTTTTATAGCAGCATAATGATGCTGAGCATAGAGTCACTGTGAGTAAAATGTAGACCAAGAAAACTATAGAACGAGATGAGTTAGAATCAGTCTGTTTCAGGAAAAGGGAAATAGAATACCTGGAGAACAATGAACATTCCGTGGTTGCAATGAATGAAGACTGATATGGGAAGAAGCAACAGATTTGCGGATCAGATTAATTGTGGTGGTGATGGAGAAGGTTGGGGAAGTTAAGTCATTCCACTAGCACAATGACCGACCGAGCTGAATTAGTTGCAATCTGATTAGACGCAGCTATGTTTGTATTACAAAGGTGAATTCGTGGTGTACATAACAAATGAAGCGTAAACTGAAAAGCAAGGAAGCGCAACTGGACAGTTGTTTCGACCTGGTTGGGTCTCATCAGTGCAGTGCGCATCGATTGACCCAAATGGGGATCCCGAACCCGGGACATCATGGGCAGAACGTAAGCATCCTAACCACTCAACCACCAGGCAGCTGATCAAACCGTTTTTCGTTTTTCATTGACGCGATACAGCACAACCCATCTTTGCGAGGTTGTTGCGGACCACAGACCTCGCTCATCTCAGCACTAGCCTCCGGGGTTGTGACTCGGTTGGAAACAATCACAATCTGACTACTTAATTCATGTGAGTAACGGAGGATTTGATTCAATTTCAAAGGTGTATTCGCACTGCTGATGAGACCCAATCAGGTCGAAACAGCTGTCCAGTGCTTCCTACCTTTTCAGTTCGCGCTTTATTTGCTATATACACGACGAATTCAATTTTCAAATTGAATCAAATCCTCCATTATCCATATGGTTGTATTCCCGTTGTTCTGACTCAGCTAGTTCTACTGTTTTAAACTAAGTTACCTAAGCCTAACTAATGGTCACCAATCCACTCAAAGATATAGTCCGTTTATGATCTATGTGCATAAACCAAAAGAAACCTGGCGTGCTTTTACACAGTAGTAGCTCAAACCTCTGGTTCATTGGGACAAGTAGCGATGAAACAAACATCCACAAGACAAACACCAATATCATTATGGGAACTAAGTAATTGCGTGCTCAACCGTCACAAGATTATTATTTCAGCTGGGAACAAGATGATGATTGACGTATGAAGTGAAACACATCGAAATCATCCATCTGGTTTGGATAAAGATATGAGGCTAGAACATAGCATGTAAAGTTCGTCCAAATGTGTTCATTTGTCTCATGTTTTGAGTCTTTTGATGTTTAACTCTGTTGTATCTCGTATAAGCTAATAAGTAAGCAAGTAGTGAATTAAGTAGTTATTCTATTTCCAGGATGTAAATGCAAACGTAGACGGTCCGTAGGCCGGTGAGCAAGCAGCGCGTCAACACACAGTCAGGCAGGCAAAAAAACTGGTGCAAGTGTTACTTAAAAGAGTATGTTTTCGCGTTGGGCAGTGAACAAACCAATCACTGCGGATGGATCAATACTGACCTCTGATTCGCTGAGGCGGATCGATCTTGTAACAGAGTAAGTCCGCGTGAGGTGCGTAGGTGCGTGTGGTGGCGGGTCGCAACGGCCAATTACGTGATGGGCATATCACTCGACTGCAGGCCACAACAAACTCCATGCTCTCAATAACCGCCTTGGTTGTGTGTGGCCAGGGTCGAGCAGCTTCTTGAAGCAAATCCGCACAGAAAGTGTTGACATCCGTGTGGCATTCATACATTCTCTCTCACTCAGTGGATCACGTCTGAGTTTCACGCCACTAAGATCTTCCGTTTTATCGGTTTTCCGCTCGGGGTATGTTACAGTACCAGTGTGGTTGTGTGAAGTTGAAATTTATTTACAGGAGGCAGAAGCTGATTGGGATTTACATAGCGTGAGGTCTTTGATAAGATCAAGTGAAAAATTACCACATCACAATCACATACAAAACTGATAACTAACTTTATCAAATTTTTCATTGGTTAGAAATAGGATATAAATGTTAACATAAAATATATATTCGCTAAATGATTGAATTAATTGTAATAATTAATTGTCGAGTTTTAGCCTCGGTCAGGATCAATCGTTCTACTTGGAATCAAACTGGCTTCATCTGAGTTTGGTATGCATCCTCCTCAGAACGGGTTAGTTCCGTGTACATCACTAAAAATCGGAACAAATCAGAATCCACGCATGGACGCCGCCTACGTTTTGTACGCGCAGCTGAGCTACGAGGCCACACCAATAGCAATAATCTTTTCACATTCGAATTTACCCATACAACTTACAGAGGTATGTGGCATCCACCAGTTAGCATGTAAG